GCATACCAAAGTCTTACAGAAACGAAGGACCTTTTACTGCAGTATCCCGACATGTATAAAGAAATAAAAATATATATTATTTTGTAATCAATATTTCTAACATTTTTTCAAACACTTTAACAACTTATATGTATAAACAATTGCATTTAATGAAATAAATATTTTTATTTTTATATTATTTTTATGAAAGTACATTTTCATATAACTATTTATCTATTTATCTATCTATACAGCGTGTGTGTGTGTGTGTGTGTGTGTGCGTGTGCGTGTGCGTGTGTGTGCACTGCCCGTCAATGATTCGAAGGGTCATGCAGTAGTCCTAACTTATCGGCCTGATTTATCCAGGCGGAGTCGATGAAGTCAATAATGCTGAACGCGCGCGCACTTCGAAAAAACAAACATCGGAAGGAACACATTAGCAGTAACATAAAATAATAAGAAAAATAATAAATAACTATTTCTTTATTTGTTCCACCACTTTCTTTCTTCTTTCTCTAATTTAGAAATGCATGGATTATATCTTCGTCATGTGATAGGTTCGTATTGATCTTTATATTTATCTGTAAAGATACATGTTTCGTAACATGTTGTGTTTTGAATTATATATTTGTCTAGACAGGTATAAACGACAATAGAAACAAACACGTATAAGAAGACGAAAAAAGATAAATAAGCAGATCATTTATTAAAATTAAAAACAAGTTATTCTTTTAGTTGAAAAGAAAATTATGTATATCCGAGTAACCGGTCCAGTATCCTTTTCGTGCAATTAATTGCTGCAATCGTCTTTTAGACAAATATATATATCAAAACGCAACATGTTACGAAACACACATCTTTACAGATAAATATATAGATCGATACGAACCTATAACATGACGAAGATATAATCCATGCTTTTCTAAATTAAGGAAAAAAGAAAGAAAGGTGGAACAAATAAAGAATTAGTTATTTATTATTTTTCTTATTATTCTATATTATTGCTAATGTGTCCCTTCCAATGTGCGTCTTTCCGAAGTGCGCGCACGTTCAGCATTATTGACTTTATCGACCCCGCCTGGATAAATCAGACCGATAAGTTAGAACTACTGCACGACTCTTCGAATCATTGACGAGCAGTATACACAGGATGGAACATGTAACTGAGATTACTTTGATAACGCCGTAAATATGTGTATTGATTTCAGTGAAAATTGATCCAAATGAATATTGTATGCTTCAAAAGATGGTATGCATACATTAACATTTTTTGTTTTTCTTGTAATTTAAGATTTAAAAATTTCACTTTTAGTTTTTTTAATAAAAAACCAATATTTTTTTTAACAGATTCTGATTACTCTCTCAAAAGCAAATAAATTTTATATAACAAACTTTTTGATCCGACAATTAAGCTCGAAGATATTTGCAGTCAAAGATTGCAAGAACGTTTACCCACGTACATTTGCAAAGTACGCATAAAATGTTTTAGCAAAAAATATTTTAGGTAAAAATTGCTAGGACTTATCAGTAAAACAAACTATGATATAAAGAATTGGATTCTAATTTAAAAAACTCAAATTAACTTTTATGTGACCTTGACGCCAAAGATCAAACTAACATCTTTATCTTTCTCCTCCTTCGAACCAAATAATTTTTATCTAAGATACTTTTTGCTATTGTACGTACAATTTTTGATTGCAAGAATGTTCGAGCCTAATTATCGGATCAAACTGTTTTTTATATTCAATTTATTCACTTTTATGTAGGTAGATAGATAGATAATTATATGAAAATATAATTTAATAAAAATATGTACAGGGTATCCCGCATCAAACACATCGTACGGTAATAATATTTTTGAAATAATTTTCAGATGAAAATCCTAATACCAAAATGTCGAGGCTAATAGTTTTTAAATAAAAAGTATAGGAATAAAATTGATCAATCAAGTTATACCAAATTCACGCACTCAAGCATGGTTATGTATATATTGCATAGTAATGAGAGTATCTTCAGATATCCTCAATTTGTTTTTAAATATAGATGTAATTTTACGTACAATGAAAAATAAAAATCGATTGATATATGGGGAAGGAATCATCTTTAAATGCTTCTTTAAAAATTATTATAGCCTCGATATTTTGATATTAAAATTTTCATCTCAAAATGATCTCAGGAATGTACCATTACCGTACAGTGTGCTCGATGCGGAATACTCTGTATATATTTTACATTTAATAATACGTATTATATTAAAACCTATTATATTAAAAAATTTTATGTAACAGGGTATCTACGCGTAAAGTAGAATGGCTCACAGCTACATGTAAATAATGTTAATTATGTTTAACATGCATTTATTGTGTTATTTATGCAAATAATATATAAATAATAAATAATTTATGAAATGTAACTTATATTTTACTGAATATTATAATTAATATATTTTATAATCTTTGTTATAAATATATTAAACAAGAGCATATATTATATTTTTTAAAGACGTCTCTGGCAATTTTACAGAATTTTAGTAATTAATAAACATTTTTATACTTATATAATTATTATATTTATATAATTTTATAAAAATAGATTTTATATATATTGTTACGTCCTGCTACGCAGCACTCCACGATTCTTTTCTTTCACGCGAAGCTACAAATCACTAGAACAAAACCATCTGGCCAACATAGGAAGTCATAAGTTTCAAATTCTTTAAATATTAGCTTCTCAGAATCCTTCTCTCACGCCGCCTCGGATAAAAGAATTGAAATTATTATTTAACATACAGAAAATGACACCCGAAACTAACTGTACGATTAAGAACCTTAAAAGAAAGAACTGATATCATGATTTAAGAATTTAATCACTATAGCCCGGATCCTTAGCAGCTGCAAATCAAAGTTTCAAACATAGGCTGGCATAAACAATCTCGCACTAACAAAAGTCGAATATCGTTCATGTGTTCGCCAGATCGAGTAAATCACGCAGCATTATCAAGATGGAACTTGGAATACCCTCAGAGAAGCGGCCACCCAAAAATTATCAACAAAATGATGCAACACGAAAAACAAAGAACGTAGGAAAGAGGAGTAACAAGTATAAAAACCCGTGCCAGTCCTCTTCGATAAATAGATGTATTCAGTTAATTGACTAGTCAACCTCTTAGTATTTTGTGCGCGGTTGTTAATTTAAAGAAGAGACAAGGGCAGTTTTAAAACGAACAGTTCACGACAAAGTTCAAGTTTAAAACAAACAACAATCCACTACTCTCTATAACCAATACTGCACAACACTCACCAGTCAGGCTGCTGCTTGAGCGTTTAACCAAAAATCAAGAAACCTAGAAGTTATCACTAAGTTTTATTTTAACTCAGCTTACCGAACTACCATAGCTAGACTTAACTTCTTCCTTAAATTTTAGTGAATAATAACAATCAACAACCCGGTCAGTCCAGATTAAATCGACGCCAAGGGTTTCCTCTTCTTTTAACCTCTGTTTACAACCGCTACCATTTACATTATTTAAGATATAGGCAGTCACATTTTTTTACGTATGTATACAGCCACCAAAGACAACTACACTCAAAAAAATATTTCGCTGATGTAGTTAGATTTCTAGATATCGCAACAAAAATGTATCGCTATTTTTCGTATCTGTGAAAACATTGTTTGTCACATATAGAATTTATAGCAGTAATGTTCTAGCAATAGCTTCTGAAAAATTTAGGTACCATTGCTAAATGTTATTCATTGCATGATTTAACACGTGATTGATCTTATATAGACAGGCGCTTTAGAGAAACTTTCTTTTTAAAGTTCACAAACAATACAGATATATATTCTGTTTCTGTCATCTAAACTGATTAAGTAATTACATATGCAATATCACAACAGTTGCTAATCATTTATCTGTTTTAGTTAATTTTTTACACCTAGAAATTTAGCTATTATTGCAAGATCATTTGAGTGTACC